GGGCGGAGGTGGAGGCGAGGTGGGTGCTGGGTGAAGAAGAGGTGGGCGGAGGTGGAGAGGAGATGGTGGGTGGAGGCCGAGAGGAGATGGTGGGCGGTGGCAGAGGGGAGATGGCTGGAGGAGGCGGAAGGGAGGTGGGGGGCGGCGGAAGGTGGGAGCCGGTGGCGGAGTCGAGGTGGGCATGCAGGAGGGCCTGTTGGACTGATATGCAGGGAAAGCGCCGCCCTGCAATGGGCCACAGCACCGCCCTGCAACGGGCCACAGCACCACCCTGCAACGGGCCCTATTTCCAACGGGCGCCCCGATCCGGGTCCCCCGCGGTGCTACCGGCCTGATGGTCTGGATTTCCATGCGATCTTAAGACTTAAAGCTCGCGTGATGATCCAGGCCGTCTGGCATAGGGAATGGTTTGGATCGTCGCGTGATCTTAAAGTCTTAAAGTCTTAAGATCGCGCGGAAATCCGAACCGTCGGGCGCCCTGGATCGGCCAAATCTCACATACCGAATAGCGATTTCTATAAGTGTAGGGATGTGCTTGGGGAGGGTGGAGTGATGGATATCTGGGAAGAACAGCAATAAAGCTTTTTGTTTGCGGTTTGCTGACACATGGAATAAACAGGTAAAAAATGGAGGAAATTGACTACTGTTTTCCTTCACAGCCCTTTTCCCAGCATCTTCCGCACAATCTGTATCCACTGATCTCCAATGTGTCTTTTCTTCCCATGACGTCTATATGTTCGTTTCCGGCTTTTGTCTTCTCCTCTTCTGCAGCAGGCACTATAGCCAGCAGTGTGTTCCTTGTCAGAAGCTGTGGCCGTGTGCACTTTTCTTCGCCTTTCCAACATGATTTATGTGCTGCATTTGGCACCTCTGGCTCTTCGCACGCGTCTAGCTATGGTCAGCAAAGCTGCATGTCCTTGGGGCCTCTCCTTCTGACAGCTATTGTCCCGCTGGAATGTTCATAGCTCAGGTAGGCTAGAGAAGCAGACACGAAACATCTGTGCTCTTTTTCTTTCAATGATACATTTTGGAGCCAGTTTTGGGCAACCCTATTTCTAATTTTGACGTCTGCTGGGCCCGCAGAGAAAATTCAGATATCTGTGGCCCTTGCAGTCTGCGTTGTTATAAGTGCAATGAGCCACCATCACGAGGAGCTCAGCAACGGACCTGACCACACTCTGTTGTTGGTTTCCTACAGTCTTCTCAACCTGAACTGTTTGATCACTAAGGCTCGACTTGTTGTCCGCCTAGGCTTCATCAATTCTCTTCGCTTAGAAATCTTGGCCTCAATGAGGCAGTGCGATGACCTGTTCATGATGTGGGGGCAGCACACATGAACAGCCATGGTTTTGGGAAGTTCTGTTTCATCGAGCCAGTGCGATGACCTGTTTATGATGTGGAGCAGCACACATTAACAACCAGGGAGGCCGATCCCGTGATTGCATATTCGCCGGCGCCGAAGGCGCCCTTGTCGGTGGTGAATGCTCCATGGTTTCGGCAGTTTCGTTGATTAATCTTGACTCTCTCTCTGCAGACACACTTATAAACATGTTACAAGTGTGTCTGCAGCGTTGAATTCACGCACTTGGGAGCGACTCTAGAAATCTCCTCTTTCCACTTGTTACATCAGGGTTGTGGAGTGAAGCTGGAAGTTGGGGAGTCTTCCTCTGTTCCTTCTCTTTGGTGCTTCCTTATCTCATCATTCATCTGCATATCCACGGTGGCCTGAGTATGCGTCTCATCCTTGCGCAGGGGCCATGCTAATCTTCTCTGTGTCATTCAGATTTTAACGGATGTCCCAAAGGACGATCTGAGCACTTCCTCCTCGGGTTGTGGAGGTCATGAAATGACAACTTTTGGGTTCAGTGGGCAAAAGTTGTGTCATCCAGGTGCGGCCTTCGGTGGCAGGTAAGAACTTTCCTGTTGCCGTGGGACGAGTGTGGCGATCGTTGCTTCGAAAAGGTTTCCTTAGTCTGCTTGAATCTTTCATGCGCCTGGCTGCTCGTCTGTCCTATAGGTGCAATTGTCTTCAGGTGTTTTTCATCGACGATGCGCGAATCGTACACCTGCCATAAAGGAGCGAATGGGAACATCAGGGGAAGGTCCCTCATGCTAAGGACTGTAAATCTTTATAACTGGCTTAGGAAGAAATGGTGATGCTATTCTTTCATTTGTTTCTCATCTGACTATGATGTGAAAGCCGCCAGGCTTCTGCAGTCGTGAGGTTGCACACCAATCGTGTGCACTGCCATGTGCGTTGAGAATATGAAGAGCTTCATTGAACCTTAAGATATGCGCAAAAATATTTCTGTGTGTGTGTGTGTATGAGAGAGAGAGAGAGAGAGAGAGAGAGAGAGAGAGAGAGAGAGAGAGAGAGAAAGAGAGAGAGAGAGAGATGGTGTGGGCTGGTGTTATGCCTCAGACTCTTGTCCTGCTCTCTGCTGTTTGGCTGCATAGAGCTGTCGAAACGCACTTAGCTGTCTTGCGTGGTTGAGATGTGATGTGGATGGGGACCATATGTGGGCAAGTCAAGTGATTGATATCAGAACTGATGGCCTGGTGTCTTGCTAGGGTCTACTGAATCGAATTGATTGCGGAACTGCACTCTGTCCAAGTCAGGTTTGCTCAGTGATGGCTAGTTTCACGTATTGTGAAACTGTGGAGCTGAGCTCCTGAGATCAGAACTGATGGCCATGTGGTGTCTGAGTCCAGGAGTGGTATTTGCCTTCCACGTTCTGTTTTGCAACTGCATCGTTACCCTTCCCCTATTTGTGTCGGCACACAATTGATGATCGGAGTGTGCTTAAACCCCTTTTCCTCTGATCTCTTCCTTCGTTTGTGGTGTTTATGTGGCATGACAGGGCGTCCTATTATTGTTGACTTCTCTCCCGTGACGGACTTCCGGGAAGCCACGTGTAGACAGTACGAGGAGAATAACTGCAACCGTGGTGGTTATTGCAATTTTATGCACCTGAAGAGAGTTGGAAGGTGAGAAGCAGTGCCGTTTTTGACTTGTTTGGAATGCGCAATGCATAGTTGACAATTGATCCCTCCTGATGAATTTGCTTCCTGATGTTCTGAGGGCCTTGCTTGCGCTTATCATGCATGCATGATCTAGAAGAGAGGCACATAAATTGCCTTGTCAATCGTTCCTTTGCAGGAAGCTGATCACCTGGGGCAGAAGAGTTGTTGTGTCGAACCTTGTGTTCCCTGGTGTTGTTTGAAAAACCTCAACCCGAAGTTGTTGCAAACGGAACTTGCTATTTCAAGTCTACATGTGAAAGGCTTTCCCCGATGCAGACCCCAAATTCAAATCTCAGGGCCAAAGTTCCCAGGCCGGAAAAGGCCAGGTCGGCCAGTTTCAGAAAGGCTATGTTGGGTACCCCAGAGGTCAAGTCCAACAGGTACCCGGTCAACAGTCACGTCCCAGGAGCAAAAGTCACATCCCATAGGCAGAAGTCACGTTCCACAGTCAAATGTCACGTCTCACAGCCAAGGGTCATGTCCCACAGGCAAGGGTCACAACTCACAGTGAAGGGTCACGTTCCACAGACCCAAAAGCAGCAGCACACCAAGGAAAACCCAGGAAAGTACCGGGCCTCAACATTCTGAAGCAAACAGGCCGTGGGCAATTGGTACCAAGTCATGCCAAGAGAAGCAGAGGCTGGGACGAGTCAAGGCTCAATCCAAGTCAATATAAGGACTGGCCAGCAGCATTTCGGACAGATTGCTCATTTGGGAGAAGGTGGAAGCGCTGTTGGTGCTTGTGCGCTATTGCGAGTGACTGAGCGCTGAGGAGCCCTGCTGGACAGCGCTAGGCTGTGGAAGACAGGTGGCCATAGCCGCATAATAGCAGTAGAAGTGGAGCTGAAGTAGGAGGCGGATGTATCCAGGCTTATGATTCTCATAACAGCAGAAGCAGAGAGAATTTAAGGGGAGAGAGAGAGAGAGAGAGAGAGAGAGAGAGAGAGAGAGAGAGAGAGAGAGAGAGAGNAGAGAGAGAGAGAGAGAGAGAGAGAGAGAGAGAGAGAGAGAGAGAGAGAGAGAGGGCATGTACCTGGTTCGTGGTGGTGATTTATTTGAGCAACATCTGCACGTTCTCTGCTTCCTGCTGCTGAGTTCTTCCCCGGATTGCAACGTCATCATTTTAATCCTATAAGTGATATAGGACTATATCGGACTTTATAGTCCTACAAAAGGCTATAAGTGATATAGGACTATATCAGAGTTGTGTGACTGTAGTCTGGGCGCTCAGCGCGGAATAGGGAGAAGAAACACTGGACAGCGTGAGAGAGAGAGAGAGACACAGAGGGAGAGAAGAGACAAAAAGAGAGAGAGAGAGAGAGAGAGAGAGAGAGAGAGAGAGAGAGAGAGAGAGAGAGAGAGAGAGAGAGAGAGTTGAATGAGAGTTGAACTGGGTTACGTACCTGATTTGGAAGCTGTTTGCTACTGCGCTGAACGACTGCTGTGAGACTCAAACTATAAGTTTGTATATATAATATGATCATTCATTGAAGTTTACAAGCTGCCGTATTCTGATCTTTCCATCTCCGGACTTCGGTGTGGATTTGTGAACTCTCATGGTGCATATGCTTGGAGTGTCAATATAAGAGGGTCATTGGACAAGTCTATCTGATGATTGTTGGGCACATTATGTACACCAGGGCATGCTGTTGGTCATGCATGTGAGCATGTGAAACATGCACCTCATGTCATGCGTGTATGATCACTTGAAAGGTGTTTGCTACTGTGCTGAATGAGCGCTTCTTTGTGGCAGAGGTGTGTACCTTAGTTCATCCGGATGAGTGGAATCCAATCCTTAGTTTATATATTGGGAAGTGAAATTAAATCCTTTCATAAATCTATTCACTTGCCAAAGGATGCCACCGTGACATATGTGAATGAAGGAATATACAGTAGTAGTAGTAGTCTAAGACAAGTTATCTTGTGCTTGCTGTGGGTCAAAGTGGAGTTATCTTGTGCTTGCGGTCGTCTGGTTTGATACATTCATGCCCCTGCACTGTTTAACACCGTTGCACAGCTCAATTGAACAAGTTCACTCATATGAACTCAGGGTACGCAGCTGCCCTCCACTCACTCTGCTCCACTCTCCTCCACTCTGCTCATCTCTGCTCATTTCAGCTCAATTCAACCAGTTTGCAGCTGCTGGTGTTGTTGCTTATGCAGATGACAGTGCAGATAAGAAAAAGTGAGCACATGAGCCTCCTTGAAATACTTCACGGGATGGAGATATGCGTGTTTCAACAAGGTTTCTTGTTTGGTAAGAAGGTGGTTGTCTGTCAATCCACACAGATGAATAAATCTAGTTATTATTATTTCTAATTTTGGGAGAGCAATAGTGTGACAGCATCCCTCAACAATCTGTAGAGGGCAAGGGTGTCTATCATCACGTATCATGCATGCTCAGCGCACTGCATAGCGACAATCTGTCGAAGCTGAAGATGGTCTCTCTATTTGCGAGCCCCATAAGTATTTGCAGTGTGTTCACTATCTGGCACCTCATGAAGTGCTGGTGGGTATAGCAGGATTTGAACCTGCAACCGCCAGGCCTCAAAGTGTGCCATATGTGTGCCTTGTGAGAAAGGATGCTATCATTTTGACTTGGGCAAGGTCAGTGAGAGGTGGTGGAGGAGGGGTTTTGCACACGGCGACTTAGGTGGGTGTGGTTCGAGTCCAACCATGAGAGGAGTGAAGAAGATTGAAGTATGCCCACCCCCGCCGCCCAAACCCCACCCCACCCCAAAAAGAAAAGAAGAAAAAGAAGTATATAGTACAGCAAAGGAACTGCATCTGCGTATCACCTCTATCTGGCCATGTGACTGAACAGAGAAAAAAAAGTTGAAAAAAACAATTGCAGAAGGGGGAAAAAAAGCAAAACCAAAGGGTCGTTAAACGGGGGAAAAAAAACTGAGCTGTCCCAACCCTGAATGTGTCTGCATTTCTGGGGCTGCTGATGTTAATTGAATGTTTAGTGCTGCGGCACTAAGTGTTTGATTGGAAATGCTGAAAGCAAAGGTGTAGAATGAAACAAAGGCCTCCTTATTGTACCTACCGTTTTCGCCCGATTAGGATGCACTGTCATTATAACTGTACCCGGGGCATCTTTCAGTCCAATAATGACTGTGCGTTCTTTTCAAGTGACGATGGTCGCCATCAGTTTATCTGAGCGACGTCCTGTTCTTGGGCTGGCCCTATGGTTCTATGCTTCAGTGAACCAGCTCTTTTGGTTGATGAACAGCTGCAATAGCACCAACTGCAACGAGTTTCCGAGCAGTATGTTTGCCCAGAACGACTGCGGCACTCACCTGCATGGCGTGGCGCCTCTCTGTCTCTCTCTCTCTCTCTGCTTCAGTGATCCAGCTCTTCTGGTTGATGAACAGCTGCAATAACACCAACTGCAATGAGTTTCTGAGCAGTATGTTTGCCCAGAACGACTGCGGCACTCACCTGCACGGCGTGGCGCCTCTCTCTCTCTCTCTCTTGGTTCAACTTTCTCTCCTCGACTCTTCCCCTCGCTCTTTCTCGCGCTGTGTTTTTCTCTCTCTCTGTGCTGAGCACCTCCCTGCTCTGTCTCTCTCTGGGACACTGCTGCCACTTTCTCTCATGCGCTGCACAGTCATGGCACAGCGGTATGTTTTGGGGGGTGATCACAATATTTCTCCACACTGTGAACCCCTCCTATACAGGCACACACAGCCCATAGTGGGGAAAAAGAAAAGAAAAGTGCACGCGGAGCTGGCCCAAAAGAAAAGTGAAAGGGCGGCAAAACCCTGAGGCCAGCGATTTCTGATCCACAAGCGCTGTCCCAAGTCCCCAACTTGATGGCACCAATTGCACGTTCATAGCTTTGGGAGATCCTGAACGGTCAATCACAATTGATTGGTACGGGAATACTGTTGGCTGCATTAGATTGTTGGAAAGAGATCCTGGAGGTGGTACACACCCTTGAGTCAGAGATTTTTGTGGATGTAGGGACGCAAATTGTGAGATGTGAGCAGAAGTAAGGGTAGGCTCGAGTTACCTGTGGTTCTCACAGCGTTCCTTCAAGGGTCTGCGGAACTCCTGAAAGTCAGGAACGCTCCTGAGTGGTATCGTTGGTTGCTGTATGGCACACACAGACCAACCCATCTATCTATCTACTACCTTTTATTAAAGTTCTTCAGTCGGGTGTAACGCTACGTCTCGACCTGTCCTGACCGGCTTTTGCCCGTCTGTGAGGTGGGCCGTTCAATAAGCTGCGCGTTTTCCGGCATCTATCAACGGTGCGCCGGAAAAAGGCAACTGAGAATGCTTTGGCCATTGGAAAGTACAGGCACTGAGGATTCTAACCGCTGGAAAGAAAAGGGGAAGCAACAGAAAGATCGGCCGTGGCACCAGGGACCAGATGTGAAAAGGAAAAAAATCATGTCGGTGTGTGGGATCAGGAGCATGAGAGGGTCATGGGATATGCAGCGACAGAGGAAGCAGAAGAAGAGTCACCGGTAAAGGATGAGAAGCATGCAAGGTGGTTGTAGAGGGGAGGACATCTAGGAGGGTCCTAAAGTAAACGGGAGGAGGATGTGAGTTGGGGACCAAATTTGTGAAGGAGGGGATTGAGAGGAGGGGAAGGTCGAAATGTCAGCCATCAGGGTGAGGATGTATGAACTGAGGAAGTGCAGGGGAAAGAACGTCAAGGGGGGTTGGTGGGGGGAAGATCTGTTGGTGGGATGAAGGGTATGACTTGAAATGTGGAATTGAACAGGCGAAAAGGGAGGGAGTGAATTCTTTGGCAACGTAACATAGAAAAAAAGCAAGAACAAGCCGGTGTGCCACATGAGATGTGACAGGAGGAGGAAGGCAGAGCAGGAAATAGGAGGAAGTTGGAGGAAGGACAAGGGAGGAGGAAACATGAGGAAGTTGGAGGAAGGAGGATGATGACGAGGGGAGACGAGGAGGATGGAGGAAGAGAGGATGACGAAGATGATAACAAGGAACAAAAATCACGCATCGGTGTGTCATGTGGCACGGATTCGAGGAGAGAGGGGGCAGGGGATGGAGGACAGAGAAAGGAGAGGGGAGACTAGGAGGAAAGGGGAGGAGGAGGGAGAGGATGACAAGGAGAGGAGGGAAGAGGTAGGAGGCCAGTGTGTGGAAGGAGGTAGAAGGAAGAGGAGTGTGCCGCGTGGCAACAAGACGGGAGGAGAAAGGAGGAAGGAGGGAGGACAACTAGGGAAGACGAGGATGATGGAGGAGGAGAAGGGAGGGATGCGGACTAGTGGTTCTACACGAGGAAGATGGAGGATGAGGAGGGAGGAGGATGACAAAGATGAGAACAAGAAAATAAAGTTGCATGGCATGAGAATAGGAGAGACGAGGAGGGAGGAGTGCCACGTGGCACGGGATGGGGGGGAGAGGAGGGAGGGGTATAACAGGTTGCCTGTGTCGAGTTTTGACATCATGCCTGAAAGCACGACTTCCTCCGATGGTATTTGTCAAGCCAATTTTTGCGGTAGTTTTTTTTTTTTTTTTTTTTT